TTTACGCTGTGCCAATATGGTCTAGTTGTTGCACTACCAGGAAAAAAGCACTTCAAAGAATTCAGAACAAAATTCTGAAGATGATTTTGAAGTTGCCTCCCTGGTACAGTACTACCGAAGTACATAGAATTTCGAATGTTGAGACTTTAGCACAAATGTCCAACAAAATAATTAATAATTTCCGGCAAAAATCGTTACAATCCTCAATTGCAACGATTAATTCCCTTTATACTTAGATAAGATTTAGTTTTAGTTTTTATAGTTTTAAGATTTCAATTGTTAATCTTGAAATTCCTATCTCGATATGTTGATCAACACAGTACACCGTTGAAGTTCAAGTTATAGAGAATTGACTGTAATACGTAACTCCATTCGTAATCTTATTACCCACCAATTACATCAGCCCGTTGTTGTAAATGAAGCTTAAATAACATCTGCTCCCAGTTTGTTTGCAATCAGATTGAAGCACAAGCTTGCAATGCCTCCCGGGGCACATGTACTAAATGTATTGTAAACTATGCAAGTGCACAGGTCACCCCTGGATGGAATACGTGAGTAAATATTTACGATCCTGTCATGTTTGCAAATCATCGAAACCTTGTTGTTTGTGAATCACTCGAATGATATCAAACTTATGCAGGTATGTACAACACGGAAAACTCCAATCGATAGTAAATACTGTCAGTTGAGAACGTTTAGTCGATAAAGTCGATGGTTAGATGCACAGTGGATTAAAAGTCTATTTTATAGCACCATGAAAACGTGGATTTAGACTGATGACGTCTTCAGCAAAGTTCATGCTTCATCTTTTGAAGATATGAGTTTTGAGATTAATCCTCCTAAAGTGAAATGCTAAATTGATTTGTTTTACAATATCGAGATAGAGGGTTGATATCTTGGGCAAAATTGGAGCAAACATTATTTCAAACAATCTTGTACACTCAAAAAATGCTACAGATCATCATCTTATTGTGAAACACATCCATTTCACGTGTGAATCTTATGCTTTGAATCATGCCTGAACACTATTGATTTGAATTGTGACATACTTGGATTATATGTGCCTCACAAGTTAATATCAAAAGCTTTGCACATCATAATTCAATGTTCTAAAATATTCTACTTTATCGACTCTAAACATGAATCGACAAATATAGGAACGAAGTTTCGAACGCCTTTGGATACGGTTGTGTATTAAATTTGTTCTCTGTTTTGTGCGTGCATTCGCTTTCATAGTTTTCGGCTGCATTTGCCGGATTAGCGCTGGCACTCTGCCTCCCGGACGGTTATACGTGTGTGAGTGGTGGTTTTCTCGCTTTCCGAGAAGTTTTAGGCCGACAACATAGTAGAAGCGATTCGAAGCGATTCGATGCGATAGCAATTGGCAAAGCGAAATGCAGCGGCAAGCGAAGCAACCTAGGACATAGTGAAAGCGTTTTTGAAAACATTACAGTCGCGCGCGCAGTGCAAAATATTTGTTCAAATTTTCGGTGTCCATTTTTCCTCACTAGAATCAGTCCACTTGCGTTCGAAGGCGTCAAAACACAACACGAACAGCTCTGTCGCTTTGCTGAACGCTTTACACCTCTTCGCATCGCTTTCACTATGGCTGGTTTGGGCGATTCCCATAGAACGCTCATAGAGGGTGCTTTCACGCAAGCGCTCCGCTTATTGCCAACGAATCGAATCGCTTCGAATCGCTTCTACTATGTTGTCGGCCTTAGAATCGAGAAAGAAAACATGATTCATCATGTTTGCTAGCAACAGAAGATTTAACGCGTTGTTTGATTTTTTCTCCCGGTCCAGAAATTTGTGGCATCGCGAGTGATAATTAAAATTTTAGTTTATTTACGCGGTGATGATGTTGGTTCACTCGCAACTATTTTTGAAAAAATTAAGTATTTTCGAACGAAAGTGTACCATAAGTGCTTCTGAACGTGTTTCGCAGTTGGGTGTGGTGAAATTCGTGCATTCCCGTTTCTTTGCACGGGTGTTTTTTTTTTGTAACTAGCGTAAGTGTGCCTGCGATTTGCATCGAGTGACGGAGATTGTGAGTAAGCTGAATGATGTCTCGCTGGATACGCCCAAGACTGGACGGGCGGTAGCTGGTGGCTGTGAACGGTTCCTGGGGAAAGCACTAGATGCGAACCTCCTCCCAGATCACCATGGCAATACAGGAAGTATTACAACAAAGCTAATTGCTATTAGATATTTTACTAACAAAGGTGTTTATCCTAGATAAACGGTAAGTTACAAATTCTCTGTTGTCGTTGTCGTAATCACTTAATTCAGATCACCGAAGTCGGTAGGAATTTACCGGGTTTTTGAACAGCAGAACAACTCGGTAAAATTTTCAAATGACCGTTACACGTGAGAAATCAAGAAAATTTATAAATTTTATTTTTCATTAAACTGAACAAGTTCGGGATAATTTTTTTAATAATTGGATTTTTCACTGGTTTTTAAACTTTTACCGAACAGTTCTGTAGTTCAAAATTTACCAAACGACAGAGTCCTGGATTAGTGTGTAGGCGCCGTCGTAGTCGCTGTCGCAATTGCCGTCGTAGTCGTAGGCAGTACCGTTAGTATATTTAAAATTAAACATCAACCGCTAAAAATATGAATTATCGCTTATTTCTGTTGTTCATTACATTCCAAGTGAAATTTGAGAACGTAATTTCATATGAATAGCTTGTTTAACCAGGTCTTAAACAATCGTCACGTCGGTCATAGCTTGTTATGATTGTCTGAACCATGCGTAAAGAGAAAATCGAAACATTGAACGTCGCGTGAAAGTGGATCTTAATGAAGGCCTAAGTACTCTTTCGTAGCTTTTAGTTTTAGGATTTCAAAGATCGTCGGTTGCAGTGGCTTGCTTACTGAGGAGAAAAACGCGGTCCCAGATCCTTTCATATTAAAAATGCATGGTAAGATCGCTTGTTTATCGTGTATTTTGTAAAACTTTTCGTTGTCATCGATGCTGGGTTTGAATAGTTAGGGCCTGTTCATAAACTACGTAGACAGTTTTTTGGGATTATTGACCCCCCCCCCCTCCCCCTGCGTAGACAATTGTCCATACAAAAAAATTAAAATTTGTATGGGCCGTGGATAATTATCAACCCCCCCCCCCCTAAACTGTCTACGTAGTTTATGGACAGCCCCTTATCAAAACTTGAGTAACACTATAATGTGATATGAGAGGCTTGGTGGCCTTAGAGCAACCGTTTTTGCTTACTGAGCAGAACATCGTGAGTCTAATCTCAAGCCCATCCACATTCAAGATTCGTCAATGATTAAAAAGGAGCTCGTCTGCCTAGTGGCAAACGTTTTTGCTTACTGAGCAGAAGACCGTGGGTTCAATCCCAAGCTCCTTCGCATTATACGATCGTTAGGACATCAATTCAGCTTATCGTTTGCCAAAATGAACCCTGCTGCTAACCCAACCCTCTTACCCAACATCCCTGTGATTCCTCGTGGGAGTGCAGAGGACTTCTCGGCTTCCATCAAAGCGAGTGTCACGTCAACACATTCCTACCCATTCCTTTCTTGACCTGCGTTCAGGCGCGGCTGGCGCTGGTATTGCCTAATTCTAGATCACCAATTGAGGATGATTGCTAGTCCCAAGCATCGTCTATTGGTTCTCTGTGTAATTACAGCTGGTCTGGCAATAACAGAGTAGCAGCCGTGGGCGGTCAATCATGCTCATGCTCAACATGAATCGACAAATATATAAACAAAGCTGCCCGAGGGCAGAACTTACATGCCTTTTTTAATGGGTTTGATTTGGAATTCGATCCTGGAAGGTTGGGGTGCGCTTCTGCCGTTGTCTTCGTTCGATATCACTGGGCCACAGTTTTTTTCATACATGAGATTTGTTGATGGGGATGAAGTCACAACTAATGTTTTCGAGAACAAGTAATTCAAATCGCATTGAAATGCAAACACTTAGAATCCATCTGTTTTGAACAGTAGTGTGATTCAACCCGGGTGGGGCAAGAGTGCCACCTTAACAATTGTACGTGCTATATATGCCAACCCCTATGGAGCAAAAGGGCCATGCGCCTTAAATTGAGTGAAATCGATTAATGCTTGTTTGTAAACATAGCCTTTTGATTATTAATCATGCTAGCAACAACTGTTATTGTTTACTCTATTTAACTATTGAATTTCACAATATTGTTCAATACATAACAAATGAACTATGTTTACCAATGAAATCAAATGAAAACTATTGTTGTTGATATTTTATGTAGCTTACCAAAGACTTAAATGGGCAATGAAGCAATTTGTTTTACATTTTTGTACAATTTTATTCATAAATAAGGGGTAGCACTGTTGCCCCGTGTGAGGTTCATTTTTAAGAAAATTATTTTTGACCAATTGTAGGGAATTATTAGTGATGCCTAAATGCAGGAATTGTAGAAAACAATATTTGGAAACTACAAAATCCTTATTTTATGATGTTTAATTATTATCAGTAATTTCGATTTTTGACACATCAGCACAAAATGATTTTTTGCAATTTTTTTAATACTTCATTTTGGACAGAACTGTCTATAATGCTGCATAGGAACACCATTCATAGTTTCATGGGTGAATTAGCATTGAAAACATGTTTATTTCCAAAATTATAGGTTGTGGCACTCTTGCCCCACCCGGCCCTACAATACAATTTAATTGATAGAAACAGGAAGCGCAAAACGGCTGCGAGAACGGACACCAAGATCATGCGAGAAGTCAAGAAGAACCCGAAGGTAACTGTCCGCGAGATCTAGGAAACCCTTCAGCTCAGTGGCGTCACCCTAACCTCAATCTACCTGTTCAACAACTCTCAAAACGTAAACAAACAAAACAATATTGGTTGCAATGGATACAAATCAATGAAACTAGAAGACCCTATGCCTTTTGAAACTGATTTGAATGTAAACATACCCTAAATAACGTTTTCAAAGTTGTTGAACAGGTAAAAAGTGAGGTTACGCGACGCCACTGCGTTCAGCTATCAGTTTCCGGTCGAACTGTTCGTCGCCGTCTCGTAGCACAGGGGTTGAATAGCAAAGTTGCCCGGAAGCGCCCATTTATCAGCAAGGCAAACAAAGCCAAACGGCTTAAGTTTTCTAAGGAGCATGCTGATAAGCCCCTAGAGTTCTGGAAAACGGTTCGAGCTGTTTAATCGAAAGCGGCGGGTTCGTGTGTCTGAAGATCGGCTGAGGAGCTTCAGGAGCGCCACATTCAAGGCACGGTGAAGCATGGAGGAGAAAATGTGATGGTCTGGGGGTGTTTTTCGTGGGGTAGAGAGGGAAGCCTCGTGAAGATCGACGGGATAATGACGGCAGATTCCTACATCAACATCCTGCGGGAAAATCTGGAGGTTTCGCTGATCCAGACGGGCCTTGAAGAGAAGTTCGTATTTCAGCAGGACAATGACCCTAAGTATACTGTCTAGAAGACCAAGTCTTTCTTCCGGTCTTGTCGGATCAAACAGCTGGAATAGCCTCCACAAAGCCCGGACCTCAACCCCATCGAGAATTTGTGGGCGATTCTTGATACCAGGGTTTACAAAACTGGTGTTGCCAATAAAAATAACTATTTTTAAGCCCTGGAGGGCGCCTGGGAAGAGCTAAATCCACAGCACCTAAAGAACCTGGTGGAGAGCATGCCGAAGCGCCTGCATCAGGTTCTGAAGGCCAAAGGAGGACAGATTGATTATTAAAATGCGATTCTTTCACTTTAATTTATCTTTTCTGGAGCCAAAATTAAGTGGTCACAGGGTCTTCTAGTTTTACTGATTTGTATTCATTGTTTTATTTGTTTACATTTTTAGAGTTATTGAACAGATAAATTGAGGTTAAGGTGACGCCACTGGTTAAAATCCAAACCAAAAAAAAAAACTGTTATGTAGCGTAAAACTAAATGGCATTTTTTTTTTTGCTTTATTATAGAGATTTTTAGCCGTAGGCTAGTTCATCTCTTACTAAAAAAGCATTAATTTTTAAGGCAGATCAGTTCATTGTATTGTTTTTAGACTGCTAAAGTCTGTTTCGTAATGAATAGTTGACAGACCACACTTCAAGAGCCACATGTGAAAAGGGCATACAAGCCTTTTGTAAACAAACTTTTGTATGCCTTAGGGGGTAAATTGATGGGTTGCGTTGGTGTCATATGGGTGGCGAGAAAAGGGCATAAGAAGGTTTGTTTACAAAAAGCTTGTATGCCCTTTTCACATGTTGTTCTTGAATTTGATAACCATCGGTTAATTCGATGAATACCAATAAGCCAGAGGAGCTAAACGGTTCTGATCCATTTACCCAAAATACAGATATAAATAGTAGACCCAAATGAAGCCATTCAAAGTAGGTCCTATCTGTTTCTTTCATTTTCTGCACATGATTCTTATCGTGTGAAAGAAAATGTAACCCCCAAAAATGGTCAGAAGTTACAAAAGCATCTTTCTGCATAACTTTGCATTGGTAGGAAGTGAATCAATTAATATAATTTTGACCAACAGTTCACTACAGATTTCCCACTTAATTCAGTAACAAAACTACAAGAGAATCTTACATTCCCCGGCCGGTTGATGGCTCCAGTACATCGAATTCCGGTTCTTTCACCGTCCATCACCTTAAAAAAGCCTTTCGTTCTTTCGATGGATTGTAATTTTCTATCCCGGCGTAGAGCACAAGACGAATAATTATTATCACTTGGTTCGTGTTGTTGCCGTTCTCCACGCCATCCCCGCACTCTGACGACTGCGCTTTTATTCAGTGTGGTTGTGCTATGACACTGCCTTCAACATTATTCCTCACCCTATGATTGTATTGTAAGCGGCAGTAGCGCGTACAATGTATTTATATTTATAAGCTTCTCGCAAGTTTCGTAAATAACATCCCTTCTTGCCGTTCCGCCGCCAGAGCCAGCCTCCCAGCATGCTGCCCGGTTTCTTCCACTTACACACCACTGTGTGTACTGTGGGGCCGTGTAGGCCCCGCTGAGATTCTAACCTCTTCTCATATTATGTATGTTTGCATGTATAATAGACCATCAGCCGGAATCCGGGCAGTGCTGCCATTGCCAGGGGTGGGAATAGTTATGCAATTTTAATGGTCGTTTGATGGCGCACTGAGGAATTCGGGGAATTGCGTTTTATTAACGAAAGTTACGTGGCAAAGCTTGATGAGGTTGTTGTGTACTGCGTGTGTTTTTAGAATATGATAACTGGTCAATAAGTCAGTGGTTGGAAAAGAAGCCTAGTGAAACACATTCTGATTACAAAATTTAGCATCTTAATGTAATTTTTTGAAGTTCATGAATGCATTTTACAGGCACAATACATGATGGTTAAATGTTTTGAAAGTCTTAATTTTCTATTACTTTTAACGGACGCAGGGTGGTCTATTGGTTGTAAGAAATTAAATTCCCGGTTTCATATAAACAGCTATGAATAAGTTTAGGTCGACAAATACCACAAATCCGGACACTTTTAAATGTTGATTATGACTGCCAGTATCACTGCTCAACATGGCACGTAAATTTTATCATGGTATTTTAGAATCGTTGAGAATCATTACACATATTTATTATGTTGAAAAGTAAACGTAATATTAAATTTTAAAAAGTTAAGGCACGTCCTCATTTTATATTGACGTAGGACTACGGGATTTTTTGATGGTCAATTCAATGGATTCTATAACATTCCCCAGAAATATTAGTAATTTATTAAAAAATTAAAAAAATAGTAATTTATCACTTTTTTTGGTTTTTTGATATTATATTTAAGTTTTATATTACAGAACAGGCGTCCATAAATAAACAGGTCCGCAAGTATCTTGAACACTGAATAATACATCTTTTGAATACCAATTTTCTCGATAATCTTTACACATTTGATTTCATATATTTTTCATGATAAAACTCTCTGATTAGTTTCACTTTACTATTGATGGTACACTACGTTTACTTTTATGGAACTATGTATTTATCAATTCCAAGCCATTTTATGGCTCTTTAGGAAAAAAGACAACTTTCAAGTTTTCGTGTTTATTTAAAAAGTCAAAGGGTCTATTATGCAATCCAATTCAACCAGTCGGAAATTGTTAAATCTTATCGAAGAATTGTTCGACCTGAGTTGTAGAGGGAATATCCCTTCTTGATCGTATATCCAAAGAATTAATTATTTTCTTTTGTTATATTTTCAAATATTTAACGAATAAATTATGTTCTCTTTTATATACTAAAAGAAGGGAATATTCCCTTCTTTATCGTTTATATTTTCAAAGAAGGGAATGATCTATTAAGAAGTTTTTCTCTTCTTTTTATATACGCGAAAAAAGATTCCAGGAGTGCCTATAATAAACAAAAATAGTCAATCTAATACATGGCATACTTTTCTGGGGAATGGTTTTCGGGGGAATGTTATAGAATCAATAATCAGTTCAACAACAACTTCAAAATTATTAATATATAAATCTAATTCTAAAATCAACAAAAATTCAATCAATTATACAATCTTATGAAAATAGGCGACATTTAGAAGAATCAATTTTAAAAATTCAAAATTCCACACTCATACAAAATTTGGATCCATCTATGTACTATCGGTAGTTGACAATGTTTATTTTACACTAAGCGAAGCAGCATTTCGCTAATTAAAATAAATTTCATTAAACAAAAAAAAACGTTTTAAAACAAAGTTTGTCTTTAAATCTGTCTTGAATTTGAAATCTTTCAAATAGCTAACGCTGTAATTGTTGTTTAAAAAATTGAAAGTCAATTTATTTGTATCATAGTACCATATTTTAAACTCACAACAGAGTTGATCTATCCCGTTTACAAAGTATCTTAAGAATTCGCTTGCAGTGAATTAGCAAATTGCTTAGACTTTTCATTAAAAAATATTTAACATTGTGCATTGCATGGACTCCAACCCATAGTGGTTTCTTTTGTACTGATCACGAGCGTTCATCTTTCCACGTTGGAACCATCCAGCTCCTGTACAGTTATAGTACCGCAATTCTGTCACAAATCAATGGTCTGTTGAATGAAAACAACCGTACCCTGGATCTCTGCTTTGTGAGTGCTCGTGATACAGCTCCTTTCCTCTCCACGGCACCCTAACCTTTAGTCAAGGAAGTGCATCATCACCCTGCTTTAGTTATCGTGATCGAAAATAATATTGTCCATGATTTCATCAGCACTCCAAACGTGTCATATGACTTCCGTTGAGCTGACCATCGCAGTATTGTCCATATGCTGTCTAAACCTAGATTGGGAGCATATTCTAGATCCTGTAGACGTCAACATTGCTGCACAAACCTTTTCTCACTTCTTGGCATATGTCATTGACAGGCACGTTTCCAAAAAGATCATCCATATCGACTTTCGCGTCCCGTGGATGACTATAGATCTTTGCTCGCTCAAAAGAACTAAGAAGGCTGCTGTCAGAAGATTTACTAAATTCCGAACACTGCCGGTGAAATGCTACTATGTCAGACTCAACCACGAGTATAAGCGGTTAAGTCGTCTCTGTTTTCAACGCTATCAAAGGAGGATTCAACGGCTTCTAAAATCACACCCGAAATCCTTCTGGAACTTCGTAAATGAGCAACGCAGGGAAGTCGGCTTACCCTCTTCCATGATTTTTAATGGTGAATCTGCTGGCAATCAACAAGACAACCTGTTCTCAGCCAAATTTGCTAGTATGTTTGAAGACGAGCAACTCTCCGCTAATCTCATTACTTCCGCGGCCAGTAATGTTCTTTTGGTCAACTAAACGCGCAGCGTTGTCGAAGCCACTACAGATACGATTTCTAGAGCAGCATTTAAACTTAAGACTTCTGCTAAGGTTGGACCCGACGGTGTTCCGTCGATTATTCTTAAAAAGAACATCACTTGTTCTTTAGATCCACTGCGCGCCGCATATTCCATCTTTCTCTTTCCAGCGGCTTCTTTCCGTCTTGCTGGAAGACTGCGGATATGTTTCCTGTTCATTAAAGGGAAGCAATCGCGACGTAAACAACTACCGGGGAATCACGTCGCTGAGTGCTGTATCAAAACTTTTTGAATTGGTTGTCATAGAGCCCCTAAATGCGCATTGCAAGCAATATCTAAGTATAGATCAACACGGATTCATAACTGGGCGTTCCACAACTACGAACCTGCTGTGCCTAAAGTCTTACATCGCAGACAGTTTGATTGCTCGGACCCAAACGGACGTTATCTACACAGATCTTACGGCAGCCTTCGATAAGCTGAACCACGAAATTGCGATCGCTAAGCTTGATAGGCTAGGGTTCGGTAGAAATCTTTTGAGATGGTTTCGCTCATGCCTCACGGAGCACCAACTGATAGTAACTTTGGGTACTTGTCACTCAGCAAGCTTCTGCGCAAAATCCGGTATACCTCAGGGTAGCCATCTGGGACCATTGGTATTTTTCCTTTACTTCGACGACGTTCACCATATTATCACAGGGCCACGATTATCGTTTGCAGACGATCTGAAAGTTTTTCTGCGCATCCGCTCACTCGCCGACTGTGTTCTCTCCAAAATCAGATTGACATCTTTGCTGACTGGTGTAGTCCAAGCCGACTGGTGGTCAACCCAGCTAAGTGTACAATCATTACTTTCTCACGCAAGAAACAACCGATTATTTTCAACTACAAACTACTAGGCACGACTATCGAACGGGTGCGCTGCGTGAAAGACTTAGGCGTTTTTCTAGACTCAAAGCTGACATACTCACACCATATATCGTATGTCGTCGACAAAGCGTCCAGAACGCTTGGCTTTGTCTTCAAGATTACTAAGAACTTCACGGACATTTACTGCTTGAAATCACTCTATTGCTCTCTCGTACGATCTACGTTGGAATACTGCTCTGCAGTTTGGAGCCCGAACTACAATAATGGGGCCGAGCGAATTGAGTCTGTGCAACGACGTTTTCTTCGCTTCGCGCTCCGTAAGCTGCCTTGGCGATACCCACTTCGCCTTCCAAGCTACGAGAATCGCTGCCAATTGATCAATGTCGAGCCCTTACGTATCCGAAGAGATGTTTTCAGAGCCTTAACCGTCGCCGATACTCTGCAAGGACATTAATGTTCAACCTCGAGAACTACGCAACAGTCTTATGCTGAGACTTCCACTTCTTCGAACTAATTATAGCTTAGGGAGCGCTATTCACGGCTTGCAGCGAGTGTTCAACTGAGTAGCGTCGATGTTCGATTTTCACTTGACACGGAATATTCCTTGCCGAAGATTCTCTGCCTTTTTTGCTGACCGAAGGCGCTTGACGCCCAACAGCTAAGTGTAAAATTTAATACTTATACATTTTTAGTAACTTGACAATGCTTTCTTAGTTATTTTCGTTTGTGACTGTAGTATTATACTGTGCAAACAAACAAATAAACAAATAAACAAAAGTCAGAAGTTTGCAGGAATTCTTTTCTGTGTTCCTTCGAAGTTCCCTGAAATTATTCACAGCTTTAATTGTAATCTTCCTTTTAGCATACTCCTAAAATTCCCATAGAATTGAGCTCCGGATTCTTGCAAGCTATCGGTGTAAAGAAAATTAGAAAATTCTGGGATGACCCGTGATTTTTTTTTTAATTCTGGGGCGTGGAAGCTTTTTGATATTTTAGCCTTGAAAGAAAAATGAAGATCACATACATAGGCAACATTTTATTTTTCTAGGACTAGGATCTAAGAAATATCAAGATCTCTGTGACAATCTAAGACGTCATAAAAATTTCATGATGACTAGCTTTTTTGCCCATGACCTTAGAACTTACTGATGAACAGACTCTGTAATCCATATTTCGTACTTCGTACCTTTCTACAAAGGAAACTTTGAAACATGATTTAAACTTGATATGTTTACAATCATATGCCAATAAGATAGTGAATTCACAAAAACGGAACAACACTGTGAAAACTACGTAGTAATTTTAACCAGTAACCAAAATGATATCCTACTGAAGAAAAACTAGAAAATTTGATAGCAAAAAGTAATTTTAAATTTAACCAAACCGATCACCTCTGGCAACACTGCCTTGTGATGGTTTCTGTTTCTTTGTCGTCTTTTTTTTCATGGTATTAAATATTCCATCAACATTTGGCTTCAAATTGCACAATCTCTATTTTCCTCCTATATGATTGCCCATATTATTTCCACTTGCCATTATCTTGTCCCGATTCTGGGGCATTGCGATGGAATCTTGTCCGGTTAAGAATGCAAATGCCGGCTATCCTACTATAAATAGCAGAGTTAAAAAAAAAACAGAACCCGAGGAAGCTGAGGCGAGCTGTATACTAATCGTTCCAAACCAGGATCACTTTCCGGTGATGACATTCCGGACATTATGCGCCGCTCGGTCAGAACTTCGAAATCAAGCCAAAGGAAAAGCGTTCGTTCGTTTAATATGTTCCAACACAACCAGCAGAAGGGAGAAAAAAAACAACAGTATAGGCAATGAAAAAAGAATCCAAGAGTGGAGGAGCACTCACCTCTTTGAAAAATAGAAAATGGTCGTCGCTGGGTGTCGTCGCTTTTGCTGCTGTGGTGGCCGCCGTCGCTGGTTCCTGTTGATTCCGATGGTTGATCAGGTACGATTCCAGATCGAACCGCTCCAGATGTTCGGCTTCCGGTTCCACCAGCTTCACTACGATATTCAAGCACTTGCAGCTGATGGACATTTTCGTCTTCGTCGTCGTCGTCGTCGCGGGTCAATTTTTCTCTTTACGGATTCGTATTCGAAGATTACCTTCTGCTGTTCCAAAATACACTTTTCAACAGCTCATCCGAAGACGCTCGATTCCGACAACAATACTTATCAACCAGACACAGGCTACTACACTACACAGCTCCAAAAACTTCCAACCTTTTCTGTCCTGCTCCCCTAGCGGCCTGTCTTCTTTCGCTTTTGTGTGAGTTGAGTTGTGTGTACCCCCTCAGGCTACTGCTACTTCTGCTGCTGCTGCACTACTTTCCACTTCCACTGAACCAGCTCTCACAGACTCTTTGTACCCTTATTCTTCTGGTTGGATATTTTTATCTCTTCTATTTATTTATCCCACTATAGAATCCTCTAGCCGCAAATTACTGTCCGGATTAATTTGTCAGTAGAGCGATGATGGGTGCACTACGGTTCAGGACAATTAAATTTTCACTTCTCTATTGCCTATATGAAATAGAAAAAGAACCCTTCTGTTATCGACACAGCACAGCCGGAAAATTCGAGCAAATATTATGTATTTTGAGAAGTCCAAGAAGTCGGAACCGAATACCGAAATGAAAATTTAATCAGAGTTGCTTCACACGCACGCACGCACGGAACTACGGAGAGATACCCACTCGACGGAAAACCAGCTCGCTGCTCACTGAAGCTCTTGACTCTTGTCTTTCTTGTCTTGCTGATGCCCCGAGACTCTGAAAACTAATTTGATTTTTTGACTTGACTTGTTTGCCTTTCCTCTTTGTGCTCCGTTCAGGGATGTGCGCTGGTGTGCGTGTCACCTTACAAAGCTCAGCTGGTGGTGATTTTGTTGTTGTTTTCTTTTTGTCAGAGAGTTTTTGACAGATCCGTTCACGGTGTGCCAACTGCAGTTGAGAATTTTCCATTAAAGGCCTGTTAATTAAAAAAAATGCAATTTTAATAAGCAACACTTACTGGATGTAAAAATCTCATGTCAAATTGGAGACAATCAAACATAAATTCTTCCAGAGGGTGAGCATATGCGTTTAGTACTACAATGAAAGCAATGAAAGTAAACATTTGGTCTATGGGCAAGATAGCTTTCAATCATGAGTAATGTTTGAGCAAATCTCGATGAACATTTCAAATGGTCCTATCTGCTTTGATCGATTCTCTTCATCGACTTTCTCTTTCGTCAATAACTCAGCTGCAAAACCTTTCCCTGTTGTATTTGACGTTTTGGACGCTAGATAAGAACCTAGCGTTTGATAAGAATCAAACTATGTGGTAGAATTAACGCGAAATCTGTTTGCATAGCAGTGGTTATGAAAAGAGAAAGTCGATTAAGAGAATCGATCAAAGCAGATAGGACCATTTGAAATGTTCATCGAGAAATCTTGAGTTACTCTGAGTTACTCGCGTTGCTCAATAATGAATATCATTGTCAAAATGAAAATTTGTATCGCCGCAACCCTAATAAAAAATAACCATAAACGAACGATAACCCAAATCATTGAACTATTCCACAAATGGTTTGGATGATACCCAGAACACGTCGTTAAGCAAATAAACCATACAATTTTTATTAGGGAACTCCGTTAAACAGGTTTCTCTCCGTATTTACATATTGGTGGTTCTGCTCAAGCAAAAATAAACAACAGAATAGTTCTTGATGCTCTAGGAAGAAGAATACGGGTTTTAATGAGACTACAACTTATCGACGATAGTTATAACACTATCCTTATCGTGACTACCGAATGTAATAATCATTTCTCTAAATCCATATTATAGTTGATGAAGTTCGTTTGATCGATGTTGGAACATAGACAAACGTTTTCAGCTTACATCAACATGAAATAAATTGTTTTACCAAGAGGCTTGAACGGGGGTGGGTCTTTACCTTCCAGCTTCACGGCAAACAAAGGGTGCAGTATATGCATGGACCAACCACAACGTCCACTTCAATCAGACAATTCAATAGGAGGTGTTTGTTTCGCGTCAACTAAGTACTCCCGACGGTTAAATAATACATAGCCCTTTATTTATCACACCAAAACGTGTAATAAAAGGTTTATTAAACTTATCACTAATTTGTATTTGACTTAAACTAGGAACAACGTAATGAATTAAAATGCCGTCGTGGGTCTCCTGTCTATGCAATACAGTGACCTGGTGGACTGATCATTGGATCCGCACGACCGTTTTAGGTACACTAATAAAAATTCAATGCACGGCGAATGAGAACGACTCAAATTTGAGTTTAGTTCACTCATAATCGCCAAAAGTGCAGGAACTCAGCGATGAGTTAATTTGCCTCATGTTTTTCCAGGTTTTTTCAGGATTTTCCAGGGAAAAATTCCCGAATTTGAGAAAAGTAAAGATTGGATTCACTCAGTCTATTGGTACTACCATAGAGGTAACTCTAAGACTAGAAGGTCCCGAAATAACGTGCTCAACTTTTTGGCTCAGCTCTGGTACTCTCTTCGGTCCCAAGCTAATCGATTCACCCCTCGAAACATAGGAAAAATCAATAACCCCTCATTTTATCTGTCAAACTTTCATAGCGAATCAAAACAAACATTGCGTAGTACTAAAATTTCGACTAGAATAGGGTACGTTAATCGTTTGCTTGGGACCAATAGGCTACTAAAGTGGTGAGCCAATTTAAAATCGTTAGTTTCGTATTGATTGTTGGTACTACCAACAATCAATACGAAACTAACGATTTTAAATTGGCTCACCACTTTAGTAGCCTATTGGTCCCAAGCAAACGATTAACGTACCCTATTCTAGTTGAAATTCTATTACTACACTATGTTTGTTTTGATTCGCTACACACAAAAAACAAAAATTGTATCAATAAAAACCATACATTTTCAAAATAAAAGTTTCCCTACTTTGATAGTTTTAAGCACGAAAATTCTCATAATGAAAGTATTTGATTTGTTTTGAAAGTTTATTTTTCATTTTCAACTTGTATTTTTAAAAGTGCATATTTTTAAAATGAAAACTGTTTAATTGTCAAAAACACCTTGTCATAGCAACGTTTTTGGCAGCACTGGACATAGCTTTGCCGCTAATTTTAACCTTGACGTCAAAATTTGCAAATCATGTTCTTTGTGTGGAACGAAACTAGAAGCATAAATTAAATCGTTAGATATTCAAGGCAATATTCTTACTTGCCGGATTGCTGGTTTTGCCGGACATGTAGTTCGCACGCGGTGACATCAACAGTTAAAATTGTAAGTATTTAATTATCAATATTATTGCATCAAGTAAACTTTATTTTATTTCCAGACGATGAAATCTACCGTTGTCATCAATAGGTCCGAATCAATAATCGGCGGAAAAAATCCATCTGGGTTCCGGATTCCATTCAACCTCGTCGGTGATCCAACTTTTTATACTCGCTGAGAGCCTATGGATAATATTTGTTATATTTTACAATACGTATATTCTTGTGGATATTAATAAATATATTTGAGGTTATGTTTTTAATTCATAAAAAAATAATTAATAGAAATAATACTTATAAAAAAATAAAATCAAAATTGATATTGTAATGTTGAAAATGCTTGAATTTAAATTGAAAATACTTATGTTATAGATTCAAAACGGCACATGTTATTTCAACTATACCAAACTTTCATGACAAAAGTTTGATTCAATACAAAAATAATCCACTTTTAATTATAACACTATCACGCTTTTCATTTGACAGAACTACAATTCGTTTTGAAAGTTTCAACTTTTAAAAGTAGCATGCACACAACTTTTGAATTGACAGTTAGCTGACTTTTGTTTTGAAAGCTAAAGACTTTCTACCAAAAAGAACCAACGAAAACTTTTAATTCTACCAATGGTTTTTTCCAGGGGGGACGACACTTCAGGATTATCCCATTTTTACCCAAATTACTCCTAAAATTTTCAACGTGCGCAAAATTTCAATCCATCCTATCTATTCTTTCTATTCCCAACTTATCCCTTCTGCATGCACACAAATCATCAAGCAAGCCGTGCAGTTTTCAGGTCGATCGCGAAGCACTGTCAGTTTTTTTAACGATCTCCATAATAGACATGGTGTTAAAAAAATTTGATATGCGTTGAGTCGTTCAAGGTGGCGATTGTTCTGGCAAAGCTGGTGGAAATGAATTAGGGAATGAATAGTTTACGAAGGTAACCACCACGTATATCTATGCTGAAGGCCAAGGATGAAGTGATCTCTCGATTGAATTCCCGGGGGAGCTTAAATTAAAATAGATGACGGACCACTCGTCTATAATTGGTCGCGGGGGCAAATTCATCAAGCGCGTCATAGAGGAGACAAAAAAAATGACAAATGAGAACATCTGAAATAAGAAACAGTAAAAATCGTTAAACTGTTTATTTTTTAATCTGAATTTGAAAGAATTAATGAAACACACTCGATTCAGTCCAATGGAAATGAAAAAAATCATAAAATTGAAACTGAACCCCAAATTTTCAAACGTTGAATGTGAAAATTCATAGATTTTGAGTGGTGCCAGTATTGCACGAATCTGACGATATATCTCGCTCTCTCATGTGTAGAGAGTCGATCGAATTTTATAGGGCAGGTGTGGGATGAGCAGGATGACCAGTGAAGCGGAAAATAAGGAAAAAGCCGGGAATTTAAATGACAAATCGGGGAAAAAATTACTTCATCTATTTTTCAGAAAAAAAGATTTTGGGGCTTTGAAAAGTTTTAAGATTCTTGGACCAGACTAAACTTTTTTGGAATTTCAAGTAGATTTTAGAATGAATGTCAGGGATAACAAGTCATTTCAGATATAGTAGGTATTAAAGGTAGTTTTAGAAAGCGCTCTAAGAGATTTTAGACTTTCACTCCAAGTCACTTTTGTGAGTTCAAATTCAGGGTAGAATTTTTAAGTTAATCTGTGGAGAATTGCAAATCGGTTGTGAAGATCACAGTATCGTGACCGGACCGAGGTTTCCAGCCTCGGTAACGGCTACATGAATCCACGATGCTGCCGCTTCTGCTGGCTTTCACAAATTTCGTTGGCGTGTTTAGAATTAACGGTTTTTGCAGTTTCGTCGTGGAATCGATACATTCTATTAACAGAGGGCCTTTGTAGTCCAGCTGTCATTATCCAAACATTATTTTTCACTGAGCATTGACTAAAATGGCTACTTCGATGTTTTTCTTTCGTACTGTTTCATTTCAGTTGCACGCATCCCCATGACAATTTAAAGCACCCTCGCATCCAATGCAATCCCATTAGGAATCCCATATAATTTTTTTTTATCCTTACTCAATTTTTGTCAAGACGACAAACTGAAAAAAACTCTCTTCAATTACATTATTTTTACAGGCAAACATGGTAAAATAGAATTCATCTGAATGAGTGTCGTTCCCCCTGGTTTTTTCAGTTGTACTAACGATAATTTTTTGTGTGTATGAAAGTTTGACAGATAACATCAGGGGTGTGTGGATTCATGCAGAACATGCAGGGGTGAGTGAAATAGCTTGGGACTGCTTGGGACCGTTGTTCTGGTACTGAGTGAGCCAAAAATAATAATGATTTTCTTCGGGACCCAGTGGTCTTAGAGTTACCTCTATGGTACTACTCCAAGGCTGAATAAAATTTTCGTCAGTTTCCTCATTTTCCGGCAGATTTTTAAGGTTTTCCACAGGAAACCATGAGACAAATTTTACTCATCGCTGAGTTCCTGCA